ATCTAGCTATATGTCTTGGTCAGTAGACCCATCCCTAGTTGCACCTCGCCCTTTGAAGAAATGAGGTGAATATCAGCAGATACCTTAGTTTCTACCTTGGGGGAGACAAATCATCGATAAGCGATTTGTATCCTCATCTCCTTCCTCGTCTTCATCACCCTCATCTAGGTATACTTCATTTATCCAACCCTAGTCAACTTTAGGCTCCTTCGCCTTCAGTTCGGTTAGAATGTTCGTCCTCAAGCTTGAATGTTCGTCCTCAAGCTTAAGCATGCCTGTGCCAGATTATCTTCCTCAGACCCCACTTAATCCTAAAACTTCTACAGCTCCTTCTCATCTCTTTTACCTTGCTTTCAAGCTCTTTATTCTTGTTGAGTAATTCCCAGCTCTCCTCTCTCAACCTATCTACATCAGCATCTCGAGTCGCAATCTCTACCTTATGCTGAGCCTCATGTTCCCTCATGGTAACTTCAACACCCTTTAGTGCATCCTCCATGTGGTTTTTCTTCACTTTCATCTTAGTATAACCTATCTTTAACTTGGTTATCCAAACAAAGTTCATACTGTTGGCGTTGATAGCTTGAAACAAGCATTGGTTGATTAGATCCTTTATCTCCACATCGTCAGAATAAGGCAACTGAAGAGTCACCTCATTTAATAAGGCAACTCTTCAAGTACCCCCCCAAACCAATGCCTAATTCTTTGCAAAATAAAGATGCCATAAAATGACAGCCTTCACAACAAGCAACACAACAAAAGCTTATAAAAAAAAAAAAAAAAAAACTAATGAAAAAAAAAACTAATGAAATAAACAGACACTAAAAATACATAAACACTACATTTGGGCATAAAATGACCAAATAACTAATGGGGAACTACTATTAACATACAATAATAAAATATATTAAAATAATAATACTAGACTTCTACATCAACTCCAACCAACAGATAATGTATGATTCGTAATCCTTATCCTAACATGACTATCATAAATCCAGTATATATACTCCAAATTTGCCCCAGGGAGGATGGGTTAATTTACAATTTACTACACCTAAAATTTTGAGAGCTTAACAATAACTAAGCAATTAAATTTTGAAAAAGATAACCAATGAGTTTTGTTTAGTGATACTGAAACTATTTGCAAAAATCTAAAAGTTTCGAATTTAAATCTCCACTTACCTAAACTAATCCAAAGTTAAAAGTTGAAAAGCAGAACTTATCCACTTTAGTTTCAAAGCATGGAGTTGTCTCCAAGACTATGAATTTGCAGCCAAGACAAGTTCAAATTTCAAAAGACAAATGAGAGACCAATATAGATAACATAAATACACTTTAGGCCTAAATAAAAAGAATGCGTAACATGATGCATGTCAGAGTTTGTTTATAATTTTCTTAGGAATTTTAAACGCTACGTTGCTTACTCATTAATCTATCATCATATTTCTCGTGTTCAGTTTTTCCCAATTGCATGCTTGATTTAAAACTTCAAAGTACGTTTTAAGAAGCCATGGAAAAATCAAGTTTAATAAATACAAATCACAATTTTTTTATTTTATCATTAAATTTTACTTTTGAGATGTTTTATCAGAACTACAATGAAATTAATTTTACAGTCTTCACTTTTTCCAATTTAAAACCAGGCAAAATGACTTTACTGCCTATGTTAAGTTTTTTCAAGTAAGACTATCTAGACTACTGACTTAGTGGTATCCATCAATAACTACATCAATAGGCCAAATAAACCATTGGCACTCAAAATTTTTAAAGCTAATCCAAATTAAACGATTGGTCACTCAAATTTTTAAAGCTAATTTTAGTTTGGTAATTAAAGATCCATTTGTATATTTGATGCCAAACTTTTTCATTTAACAAACCAAATATAATCATATTAAAATTTAAGAGTAATCCTACCAGGAAAATACAAATCAAATAGGGTTTTTTTTTTAGAATTAGGGAGGTGGTTTTCAAACTTTTTTTTAGAATTAGGGAGGTGGTTTTCGAGCCTAAGACTATGCCAAAATTTGTATTCGGTAATTGCACTAGGCATAGCTTGTGAGTGCAATGAAATATCAAAATTTAAAAATTTGCTTATGCATAATAAGTTTTGTTGAAATATTCAAGATATTTTTCAGCTCAAGACATAAATGGAAACAATAATTATTTTCAACAAAGACAAAACAAATTATTCAGCAATTAGCTTCGTGAATAAATTCCATTCATTTATGTTGGTATCTTCCTCTTTAAATGATTAAATTGGTGCGCTCTCTGTACGCTATTCATGATAACTATATATTTGTTGTTGGACTAACGTATGGCATTAACATTTCATTTTATGTCAGCAGTTGAGGACTTTACTGAAAGAGGTTAAGATAGGCTTTTTATGCTGTTCTCTTTCGTTTATTGTTAAGTAAATTTGTTACGTCCTTTGCATAAAGCTTTCTCACTTATATTACTCTTTCTTTCATTGCAGGCATTGAAGATCTCTTCTTTCATTGGCAGGCATTGAAGATCTAAAGTCTGGAAAAATAGTTACTCCCTTTACCTCCAAAAAGCCTACTTTTTTGGTATGATCCACTTAGAGTTCGTTCGAGCTATTCGATTTGGTACTTCTTGAATGTAGATTTTATTTGATTGTGTTGGGAATTTCATTTTTCTTTTTCTTTTGGGTGAAAATTTGACGTACACATTAATTTTTTGGATAACATTATGCAAGTTTCTCGCTCAACATGTCTTGAAAGTAGCTCAGTATCTCAGCATGTCTTGAAATAGCTTAGTATCAAAACTTGTATTTTTTATATCTCTATTTTGTTTTCTTAGTGTCATGTAATGTCTTCAAGAAACATTTGGGTTTTATCCTTTCAATTGAATTATAAATTTTCATTGAAATAAAACTCTACCAAACAATTAGAACTCATGTTGGTCCTTGGATAGGTGAAACATGTTGAACTTTGTAAATCTTCTAAGGCTTCATTTTAAACAGCTGTATTCATTTTAAACAACTACCAACTAATAACAGCAGTAATTAAGAAGTAAGATCAAACTTAAGTATTGCTCTGAAATTGCTATGCATATATGGGCAATAACTCAACTGCTGAAAACTTTTGAGTCCATGTCTATTATATAACCTGATCATGTCTTACAAAACACCTCAAATTTTTTCATATGCGTAGTCAGCTAGCGTGATCTTACAACCTAATATTTTTCTTCACTTCTATTGGTTCTTTTTGTTTTGCTTCTCTTTTTCCATTTCTATGTCTTACATGGCTAATTTCTGGTTATTTAGGTGTTGGATTATACTTGATGAAGAACTCAAAGTAGCTGCTGCCTGTGATGATGTGCAAAATGCTCGTTTGCACGTGAAAATAGCAAAGAGCGCATTGGAACTGAACGTATGCTAAACCCTCTTGAATAGATGAATAGCATGTGTCTCTCTATATATATATTTTGATGTCTGGCAAGACACTTGACTTGCTTTTGGAGGGACTTCTTTATATCCATTGTTACTATGATATATATTATTCTCGTTGCTGCTCTTCTGTGCAGGATTGATCTTCGTGATTTTTGGCAAATCAACCTGTTTAAAAAGCTATGACCATCTATTATTTCAAATGTGACAATTATTCTGGGTTTGTCTTTGGTTTTTCCTCCTAAGTTGAGCAACATCTATATTTTGGATGCCACCAAGTATGATATGGTCCATGGAGTGCATTTGATAATTACATCTTATCTAACTGTTTTATGTAAAATAAATCGATGGCTTAAGTTTGGAGTATCAAACTAGGTCCAAAATCCAAACGTTAGGAGTTTGTTATAGTATTTAGCCAAGAGTTAGGAATGATGAAGCATGCATTAGCGTGAGTTATAATTTATCTTTTTCTAGTTAAGTATGACCACCGGTTCATTTTGAACTGGAATCGAAGTCCGTACTGTAAGAACCGTAATCCAAAATCAAAATTCGCGGTTCAAAATTTTGAACCGGAACCGGTGGTTCAAGGCCGGTTAAGATTCATGTGAATGGTTAAAAATTTGGAACCTGAAACCAGCCCTGAACCGGTGGTTCCAGTCCAGTTCGAACGCGAAATTTTCCTCTATTTGATTTTCAAAATAATAATCACTTAGCATATTTATACATTCTTTAAAAAAGTCTAATAATAATATTACTATATGAATACTTTATACTTAAGATTTTTTTTAAAAAAAATACCTTTACTTTAAAAGTTAAAATCTAAAAAGTAAAATGGAAAAAGAAAGAGAGAAATACTTGGTCTAAAACTTTATTGGTTTTAACTTAATTTTTTACCCTTTTAAATTTGTTTAACTAAGTTTAAAATTACGTTTTTTTTTTAAGCCATTTTTTTCAAAATTGTCTTATTAAGATTAATAATAAACATTTAAACAAAATAAAAGTGATAACTTATATTGATTATTTTGTAAAATTAATTATTTTTATTACTTATATGAGTATGAGCATTTCTAAAATTTTTATTTAAAATAAAATTTACCAATATTGTTATAAACGTTCCATATTAATATTAAACTCATATTAATATTTTCGAAAAAAAGATATAACGTTAGAACCGATTTTTTTAAAAAAAAATATATATATATATCACCAGAAATCGTGATCGGAACCGTCGGTTCATCAAAACTGTACCGTAACTGGAACCCGACTTGAACCGGCGGTTCAAGAGCCGATTCAGGTTTAACAATTTAAAAATTTTGATCCGTCGGTTCAAAAAACCGGAACCGGCGGTTCAATGAATCGGCCATGCCTTTCTCTAGTCTAGTAATTTGGTGGTCAAACATAGTGCCTTTTAAAAGTTTTCTCCTCTATCCTGAAATTTTACGGCTTTGGAATTTAAAAATAGATGCAGCTTATTGAGCAAAGTAAACCCATTCATTCAATATCGTTTGAGCAGTTTTGATGTTTTGCATTCTTTTATTATATATATGTTTTTTTTTTTTTCCTACTCACAGGATCCTTTTACCCATTTTAGGCTCTGTGTTGCTTACTTGGATGCTGCATGGAACCTTATTCAATCAATTAGGTGTTCTTTCTTCACTGTGAGTGAGCCGCGAATTATTTCCCAAATCTTTTTACTTTCACCTTCTTCTGTTGACATTATCTAAAGTAGTTTCCATTTCAATTCTTTTTATGCATGTTTAGTGAGTGTGTTGTCTTTGGTTTTGAGTTATAAATACCGTCACATTTGCATTCTAGGATGAACAAAGGAGACTCTGTTTATATGCTGCGTTGTTTCTTCCATTCAGAAATGTTAAATAGAAGTATGAGAAGGGTAAAAAGGTATGGTCCTTGTTTCTTTTTCTTTATATCCTGCATCTTTTTGTGCTTAAACGTGCATCACAGGAAGTTGTTACCATTGGTTAGTTTCATAATAGGGTGATGCAAATTTTTAAGCCTTTTTCGCACCATTTGTTGTCCCCCTTGTATAATTCTCTCACCCTCTCTCAGAATGGGATTTTGACAGGGGGCCACTTTACAGTTGTATTTTTTTCGGGCATCCTGACCTGGCTGCAACTTTCAACAAAGTACAAACATTTTGATTTTGAATCATAATGAATGGCCTTTAGCCCTGAATTATCTTTTCAGGCTTTTGTCGTTTCTCAAATTTCTGATTGTACTCTTTGTCTTGGGTTTCAATACATGCATATCTTTATTTCGATATCCAATAGTTAAGTTTATTTGCTGCTGAAGCTGCCCATGTGTTCTCATGCTGCAGGCTCCTGTTGTCAACTTTGTCTTCAAAGACTCTCCTATTCTCTTTTTGGGTTTTTAACTGCATCTACTAATGATAGGAATATAATTCTCAACGTCTCATTCTTGAAGATAACTTCCAATTGTTTTTGTAGTGTACAGGTAAGAAATATCATTAAGAATTAACATGTTTCACATTGAATTAACAAAAGGGATATGTCTAATACAAGTGAATTAAATAAGATCAAAAATACTCTTAAAAATCATTATCCTAATATTAAAAACATTCAATTCTATGCAAAAAAATATGTCAACTAAAATTGAAATCTTTAAATATTTTTAATAATATTCTTTTTGAATTAAATCCTAACATTCCCTCTCTCCTCACACTTCACAACACATAATATATTTTTTTATTACGATAAATTTTTTTTTAATCTAGCATTTGAAGCACCTTTCTCTCAAAATTAACCTTTGTGAAGCACATTTCAAACTCATCATTTTGATGATTCTCACCAAATTGATGCACTTCTTCATCAAACTAGCAAATTGAATTTTTAAAATAATTTTTTTTTTTGAAGCACTTCTCTTCAAATATTGATGCACCTCTCATCACTTTCTTTATTTTGGAGCACATCTCTCCAATGTTCTCATGGAGTACATCTCTCCAATACTCAAAAAAGAAATTTTTTCAACCACCCTTCTTTCAAGAAATTCCTCACCAAGTAATTTAATTTTGTTAACAATGGACATGAGATTGTTAATATATTATCTGACACCTTCATATGTTTTCATTTTTGCATCTCAAATTCTCTTTTGAGATTCAAAACTTGCATCAATTTCGTTTCCTCGTTGCCTTGATGCTCATTTTTTAATGAGTCCCATATCAGCTTTGTTGTTTCACATGTCATAATATTTGTGAAAATTATGTCCGAAACAGAAGAGTGAAGGCATGTTTTGCTTTGAATTTTTTGGCTTTTTCTTCGTTATGATTCTTAATTTGAACCATAGTTGGGTGGGTTGGATGGCAAGGTATGGGTATTTTTTTTTCTGTTCAACATTCCTCCCATAGTCAATAAGCTTGTAAACATATATTTTTCATTTTAACAACCCATAGCTCTATTAATGTTTCACAACAAAATTGGACTCTATGTGGCAGGGAAGGAAAATTGGACAATAGTGTGTGCCTTTTATTTATTTATTATTTATTTTATTGGCTCAAAGGATAGGTCTCTGATACTCATAATATTGGAAAATTTTAGGGAAGGGAAATGGAAATGACCAGATGTATTAAAATGTTTAGGCACTTCATTTGAATTAACATAAAGGATATGCCATTTATTAGCTTACAGGAATCAAATAAGGACTAAAATACTCCTATAATGTTAATCTTAAATAACCAAAAAACATCAAATTCTGATGCATGGTTTCTAATATGCAGAAAATCTGGTATAACTAAAATTGAAATCTCAATATATTTTTAATAATATTATTTTGAATTAATCCTAACATTATTAAGATACATAGTTCAATTGAGAAATTCTTAAACTTGATCCCTTTGCTTACTTCTAATGAGGACACCCATCCAGATGAAGTTGACTGGGGAGTAGAACTTATTGATGTGCCTTTCTCATTAGAACACCGCGTATTGGCAAGTATAAAGTTGTCCGCGACATATTCAACCTCTCGCTGATTTCTCTATGATTCTTTCTTATTTGGCTCGTCTATTGATAACTTTCACTACTATAAACAATCATTCTAGTAAATATCTATAAATTTGTAACAAGTCACCCAACCTCTGTCATTTTATTCTAGATAGTCAATTTTCTATTCTAAATAGTAAGTGACCACAATATCCGTGACCGTATAGATGTGCCGGAATAGTTCAGTATTCTTACCCTGAAATAGCCTGATTGCCTAAATCTGCCCCTTTTGGCATTCATTGGAATGGCTGCTCAGCCATTATATTAAATATATTACAAACAATTAGGGCATTTAGTTCAGTAAACTGCTTCTTGTAACTTTAATGATGCAGGATTTCTGCTACGAGCTACGAGAAATCAAAGACTTCTGGCGAGTTGCTTTATTGATATCTACTGTGATATATCCCACCAACACAGATTTTACTCAAGAACTTTTAGATAAACAGTTTCAACTCGACAAGAGAAGAGAACTATTTAAGACAGTTGAGAATGCCATTACTGGACTAGGTATGAAAATTCATCTGTGTTATATGATTCATACTCCTAAGAATTTTTATCCTTCTGAGAATGTTTATCCTTCTGAGCATAGGTATAAAAATGTCAAATACTCATTATTTGCTATGTATATATTATAGACATAAGAAAACCCTAGTTTGTTTTTTTTTGACTGGGAAGCTCCCCTACATGTCCTTTTTCCGATTGTGATGTTTTTATCATGATACAGGTCTTGAAAAAATTTGGGACGTAAAGCCATTGGTTAATGGCAAATATATTATCAGCGTTTTGCAGCTTAAATCAGGAGGACCTCTTGTTCGGGAATGGGTAAGGCTCGTTCTTTCCCATAGTTGAGAGCTACTATAAAATTTCTTGATTCTAATTTATTTCCTCTTTGCAGCAACAAAAATTGCTAGCTTGGCAACTTGCCCATCCCACAGGAACTGCAGAAGAATGCCTTGATTGGATGAATGAAACGCATTTAAAGCGCACCAAAATGGCGTAAACATCAATCTAATTCAATCTCTATTTAATATAAGACCTCATCTAATCTGACTGGAAGTTGCTTTTGCACGTTCCCCTGAGTTCCCATGAACATTCATGTAGCTTTGGGTAATAGACTGATGGAGAAATGATGGAAGAGGGTAATAAGACTGATAGAGGAGAAGGATGGAGAAATGATGGAAGACAGGTAGCACGAGAAAATTTCTCAAGTTTCGAGTAACAATTTTGTACAGATCTACAGATACGTACTTGACTATAGTTTTGAGATAGGAAACGCGGTTCAGGTAACTCATTTCTAGATTTTAAGTGAGCGAAGCTAAGATGCTTAGTTTTGAAACTTAGAGCAATAACTAGTGCAGTTGTGGGATTGGGCGACGAGAAGAGTGCCTTTATAGAAGGAAGGAGCGGTTTTATAAAACAGGAAACAGGAAACAGGAAAAAGGAAATGGTTTTGTTCAAAATAATAGCGGCGGGACCCAACGCCGCGGCGGGACAGCAAACGCCGAGGTTTTGTTTGGCGGCCCTGTGTTCGTGCTTGAAACTTACTAAATTGTGTACGAATGTGTGCTTCTCTCGGGAGAAATTCAATATCTCTGTAATTAAAAAAAAAAAAAAGTTTATTATTGTTTATTATTTATTTGGATTGAAAACGAACTCATACTAAACCCAATTTAGGTTAGCTTAGATTGTGTTAATATATTATATAATAACTTAAAACTTTTCTTTTAGAAATTAAAATTCAATTATTAATTATTAATTATTAATTTAGTGATCAATATATACTTCAAATTATGTAGATTATGATTTTATTAAAAATATATAAGGGGAAGATATTGTTGATGAAAAATTATTAATTTATTTATGAATTTTTGTAAAAAATTATATGTCAATTTTTAATTTTTCACTTTGATCTATTGAAACTCTCTATTTATAAAATTATATCTATTAAATATTTTATTAAATATTTTTAATTAATAAATTTATTATAGTTAAATGCCCAACTTGTAATCAGGCAAAATCCTTTCGAATAAAAATATTCATGTGTTGAATAATTAAAAAATGGTGAAAAATTCGTCCTTTTAGAAAATAATATTAATTAGGGGTGTGAGCAAATACATAACTAATCGAAATTACTATTTTAGTTTGGGTTCAGTAAAACGCATTTGAAAAGAGAATTTTGTTTATGAGTCTAGTTAAGTTTGAACTGAAATTATTAGTGATGGGCTTTTGGATTTTAACAAGTTACCTGATTAAGGACTTAAATATCGTCAAAATGGTAACATAGAACAAATTGATCAAAATCGATTGGTTCAATATGGTTGAATTTAATATCAATTTTGGTTCGATTGCAATCAAACAAAATTCAAATTTAGATTTTTAACTTTGGTTTGGTTAGGTTTGAATCAAATGAACCATTTTCTCATCCCTAATATTAATTACACATCAAATCATTAATGCTAGTATATAAAAATATATAAAATTACTAAAATCAAAAGTATTTTGTTATAAACATTGACTATAGTTAATTGTTAAGAATCAGAAAATTGTATTTTAACTATGGGCTTTATGACCCACTTATTCTACTGTGTTTACACATGGAATCGTAAACATTTTGACTTGTTCATCTAACTGGTATATAGCTGTTAAATATTAGTTCATACAGTTGGTATTTTAACTGCTTTTGGGTTAATGTTCTTAAACGTCATGGAATTTGATGGAACCCATATAAGTTTAAAAATCTTATAATGATTCCTTTTCAATTGATCCTCAAGAAGAAGACTACAATTCCCATCTTGGATCGTTTTTGAAGGACTACAATTTCCCAGTCTTGAGCGTTTTTGGAATCAGATGTTCTGGTATGTGATTGAAAATGTCTTCTGTGTACCATGGATTATTGGGCATGCCTAGAGAAGCACAGGCTTCAAGAACTCAACAAAATCTCACATAAAGTCATTTTTAACTTACAAATCTAGTCCTCAGTTTTATCAAACGTCAAGAAAAAATAGAAATGCATTCCCTATCAAATTCTTCTGTCAAAGTGTCTGGTTTTATTTTGAAAAACATTTACATGTTTTATTTTGAAAAACATTTACATGGAAACAAACAGAGGAAATTGAACATCTTAATTTCGAGTATTTCATTATTTTGGCAACAGAAAGGAACAAAAAAAAAAAGCCTTTAAGACCAAAATACACAAACTGAAAGCCTTGCAACACAGGCATCAAACCAAACATCTTGAAATCACACGAAACTTGCAGGGACATTTCTTTCAACCAAAAACAGAGGATACCGAACAATACATTTGCGTATGCAAGGAAGGAAGCAATCTTGCTCATATCCATATGAACCCATCATTCAAATGCACAAATTCAGCATTTCCCAACACATTACTAACTGAATTGAATTGAATGTAGACAAGTTGAAAATACTAAATAATACTGAAAAGAAACAACACATATGTTTTGACATATGTTTTGAATCCAAATACTTGATTTTCCTTTTAAATGAATCAACATGTAAAATTGATTACACAGAAAACACCAATCATGTTCCCAATATTTTTGAAACAAACCTAAAAAAAGAACCCAAACAAAATGTTTTTTCCCCTGTCATATCTGCAATTAAACAGCAGCTCAATGGCCAGGTTTTGTGGAAAAGAGGAAGAGAGATGTACAAGAGGCACTAAACAGAACCAGAAACAGGATCAGAATCAGACCCAGAAAGTTTTCTGCACATCAGCAAAAAAATTTCCTCAATTCTCTTCAACATAAATCGATCTGAAAATCAAATTCAAAGGTATTAGTCATTATCCAGCAGCTCTCAACCACTAAAATTCAGTACCCCATTGGCTCAATCAACGAATCCAGCGCTACCGTCAAAACATTCATACCTCCAGGAAGCCAGATATCTCATTCTGAGACAACGTGGTTCAAAGCTCGTCTACTGATTATTAGCCCCAAGTTCAGTTCCCAATGGATAATCAAAAATCACTACCTATAACCCAATTCCCCATACCTATAACCCAATTCCCATAATCTCCGTTTGCTCTCATGATACTACAATCTGATGTTACTTCTTGTTGTTCTTCTACTTGATTATTAGCCCAAAATTCAGTACCCATTTGATCATCAAAATCAGAAGCTATAACCAAACAATCATCATCTCCATTAGCCCTAATCTGGTTATAGTAGGACTCCGCTTCATTGTCATTAGCCTTGATACGCTTATTGCCAGTAATAACCATCTCACAGTTTACAACTTCACCACCCTCACAATCATCTATTTTCCTCTTGCCCTTATTTTTTTCCCCTGTTTTAGACCCATTTTTCCTCAAACAACAGAGCACTAATTCACGGTTCAAATCAGGCAAACTATACTCAAACAAGATCCAACCGCAATGGTGGCTTGAATTTCTGTTTTTGTATTTGAACCTTTTCTTGGTTGCTTCTATCTTAATCCTACAATCAAAATCTGCCCTAGCCGTGACTTCAAAAATTTTCCCAGAATCTTCTCTATGCCAGTTACCCTTCACCAGTAACCAACACTTCGATTCAACTCTAGAATAGTCAGTAACATCAGCGTGTTGTTTTGTTCTTCTTCTGCGAGGCTTTCTTCTTTATTTCAGTGAAAAAGTAGAGATCCTTAACATCAGTTCTCTCGTCACCACCGAATCTCTTCCAGACTTCCCAGGGCTCTTCTCTTCCATATAATTGGCAGTCACTTACTATCATCCCCGCTGCCGCAAAAGGCTTTCCAGTGAGTTTCTTGTACAGATAGTGACCTGCTAACTCCTCATCGGTAGGATCGAACCGAAATCCAGGAAGCATGGTTGAATTCTAGTCTCCCGTTCTTGAATTTCCCTAGAAATTCTTGAATTTTCTCAGCTTTCTCTTGATTTTCATGCAGCTTTTCTCGGGGAAAAGTAGCGCAGCAAGCCCATTAATTAGTTTGGGAATCAAGCACAAAAGAGGGAACGAGGGGAAAAGCAATAAATACCTAATGGAGAGACGCCGGGATGTTACCGTTATAACCGTTAAGAAGAAGATAATTTGAATGCTCTTAGTTTTATGAGTTGTTGGCGTGGTGGACAGATAATTTAAATCTTTGTATGGGCTATGTATAAACCTTATAAGTGTTTAACATTGTTGTCTAAACAATAAAAAAACGCGTTGGCAGATAATATTATTTGCTAATGAAGAAAAAATGAAAACTCTAATAATTTTAAATGAGTTGGATTTAAGTAAAAATGAGTTGGATTTAAGTAAATTATTATTTAATTATTATGTAATATAAAATTCAAATAATCAATTAGTTCTGCAAGTAGCCATAATCGAATATTATAGTACTCAAACTCAGGTTAACTATTGAGTCGAAGCTATTCGAGTTTAAGTTTAAAACAATTAAAATCAAGTTAAACTCAAATTTTTTTTGTTAGTCCAATCGAGATAGCTCATAAATAGTTTAGCTCACTTGCATCTCGAATAATTGGATACCTTGTGCAAAAGACCAGGTTGATTAAGTTTTACTCCCTAATTAAAAGTATGTGATGTTGTGCAAGAAGTTAAGTTTTAACAATTGATGCTTTTGGAGGCAATTTTTGTAGAAATGATGAAATGTATTTTCACAATTGAAGTTTCAAATTTTAATTTGACTCATTGAACAATTTAATTTTTAAAAATTTTGAATGTTTATTTAACGACTTTCAATTATTTTATATGTGTTTAATAAAAGTGATTTTGTAAATTAAAATATCCAACAAATAAATTTTTATAAATTAAAGTTTGATGCATCCATTTTTATAGCAATTCAAGTCTTGAATCCTGCAATGAATCTTTATTTTGTTTTTGAGATATTGTGAATGCTAATGGATTTTATTTTCATTGTCTTAAAAAATGTGAATTTGATTACGCTTAGATATAATGCTTTCTTCATTGTCTTAAAAAATGTGAATTTGATTACGCTTAGATATAATGCTTTCACAGAATATCTTTACAATAGAATGTTTAATCTTTTCATTGAAGCTACCACCGTTATATAGTCATTCAAGCAATAGAGCTAGGAGGCCAAAAAAATAAATAAATAAGGAAAAATTTACTATTTTGTCCTTGAGGTTTGAATGAAACATTCACAGTAAAAA